ATTTGGGGAATTTTGGGGGGATTATTACATTTCAGATTAATTGCGTTAATGTCGACAACCATATCGACACGTAATTATTATTTCTGAAATTAATTCATTCGTTTGAATGATATATATATTAATTCAACATCTTAATACTTAGACCGTAGTGGCGCTTCGGATTGTAATGTTATTTAATTTACTCTTTATCTTTTTTAATTCTTAGAATCTTTGTTCAATTTATTCCTTAATTCTTTAATTTACTTTCTAATTCTTAAAATTGGAGAAAGATACAGTAAATTGAACACAGATTAAAGTTCTTGTTAAATTTTTATAATTCTGATTTCAAGCCTTGATCAATCAGCCTGAAATCAGAACTATAAAAACTTAATTAAAGCTTTAATCTGTGTTTAATTTATTCTTTATCTTAAGATTGTAATCTTAGATTGTGAAATCAGGCTTAAAAAAAGCTTGGCACCAGAATTATAGAAAGATGAAAAATTAATTAAACTAAGATTAAAAAAGAAGATAAATGTATAATTGAATTAAAATTAGATATATACTATTTTCATTTATGTATATATATATATGCATATATAAAAATTCTTTTAAAAAGAAAGAATAACTTGAAACACGAATTCATAAAGAACAAACAAGTTATACTAATAGAGAACAAATAAACTTTTTGCATTATATACGTATATATTGTATATTATAAATGCCACAAGGAACAATTGAAATAATGGGCATTTTTATTTTTTTTTGCTATAATTAAAATATACACTGTGTCATGGGTGAAACAGGCGAATAGTAATTAATAGTAACAAAATATCTGTATCGTTTTCCCTTTAATTTTTCTTCTCTTTCTCTCTCTCTCTCTCTCTCTCTTTCTTTCTAGTCTACCCCTCGTCTGTTTTCAATATATATTTTCGCACGCAGCAAATATGGTATACACAGTATACAGATTTAATTTCAAAGACATTAGTTAGTTTGGCTTGGAGATCTTCTCAAGTGAATACGTCCACTCGCGTTAAACTAACTCAATGGAGAGTTAAGCCAAACCGTTGATGCCTTTGCGACGTCTGAGAAAAAACCTTTTTCTTTTTTTTTTTTGAATGTAGCTTCTTCAGCCTTGTTACAATATAATTTCGATGTATCTAAATCTCATTGTAAATGTAGTCCCATTGTCTTATCTACATTCTTTACAATTATGTTAATCAATTAATTCTTTCAATTTCGTGGTCGAAACCGCAAGTTCTATTAATTGTCAAGATTTTCTAGTGCCTGTATCATCACTTGTGTTAACAGTCTTTTCGCGATATGAAGAGCAGTCTTTATACAGCGAACAGGAACTGCTCGATAGAAATGTGAAAGAAACGTTAAAATTCGTGTTTGTCATCCCTGTTCGTTTCACGCCTTAAACATTCTGGGCCCCTATTCTTGAAAAGAAACATGTACGAAAAACTAAGGCGTACTTTACAGTCTCAGTTTTCCTCGTTATTAGTAGATGTACTATTTCGTCGACAACAGCAAGTTTCGGTTGGATTTGTCGCTCGCGCAAACTTCACAGGATATACATTTTAATTATATAATTAAAAAAATTTTTTTTTGTCTAAATGTTTCATAACATGCATACACACGCATACTAGTTTTCCGTATACATTTCTTTTCAAGAATAGAGGTCCTGGGATTACTTAGATAACTTAGGGAAGCCTTTGTCACACTATGAGTTCATTATCAATCTCTAGCGGTGATTATCTTCATATATGTCTATTTCCTATCCTATTTTCTTTTTTTTTTGTTCGTACAGATCAAAAACACGCAGACCGTACACAGACAACACGCAAATAATAGAACTTTGTTTCAAGATAGGTTTTTATCCATCTTACGTTATTAAAGACAGACTGCCGGACAATCAGCTATGATGATATACATTTTATGATACATTTATAGGATATCGATAGTATGACACGATGCTGCGCTAAATATTGTGTAAACTATGATTATACCGCAAGATTCTCTGTTTTCCTCGTTACTACTAGATGTGCTATTTCGTCAACAGCAGGAAGTATCAGTTGGATTCATCGCTCGCGCGAACTTCACATGTATACCCAGGACGTTCATATTTTAATTATATAATTTTTTTAAAATTTTTTTGTCTAAATATTTCCGCACCTTGACGTGTTTCATATCTATTGTAAACACACATACATATACACATGTGTGGGCAAGCATGCACGCATGCCATGCATACACGCATGCACCCATACATACGATATGTACACAATTTTTTCCAATCTCGATAGTAACTATAAGTTATTATTAGAATACTAATCTTATAAGGATAGATTACATTATATGTTATGTATCAACATTAGATACTAATTATGAGTTAAGCACAAGAAAAAAGAAATAGATTTTGATCTAAGGCCTTGGTCCTTGAATAACAACCACTCCTTTTTTTTCCTTCTCAATAAAGCGAGAGCTTGTGATTGTGAAGGGAACGTAAACGTGGTGGAAAAAAAGACCAAATACTTTAGACAATTTGCGATCTTAATCGCAAAGCTTAAAAAAAGCGCATTAAACGCGCTCAAAAATTGATGATTTATTTCAAATGATGCACGATATCTGTTTTGCAATCTTTATGACTCGTGAGTATACTATAAATGTAATTGTCACTTTATCCAATCTCAAAAGACGCACTTTCCATAATTATCGCTCGCATGGACAATCCATCTTTTCAGCCTCTAAGTTTTCTAGACCTCTTTCTTTGCCTCTCAAAAGGAGCCAGATTAGAAACACCATCTAAATTCCTAAGCAAAACCCTGAAATACAAATTCATGGCAGAAAAAATAGGCTAATCCGAGCGATTACTGGCGGATAAATTAATGTTACATGTTATTTTAGCAAAAAGATTTCAATAGAATGTCCTTTGAAAATAAAAAAAATATCAACAGTAACATACCATTAGGAAATTCGTGCGTGATTGTCAAAATGTGAACTTAGCTCGCGATGTTAATTTTATGATTTATTAGAACGCGAATGTATTGCAGACGTTTTTGTATACTGAATGACATTCACTGATATTTTATACACAATGATGATGAATTAGTTCTGTAAAATTTTCTGTCGTTCTTTCTTTACGGGAATGACAAAATTACTTCTAATATCCAAATTTTTTATGGGTCTTCTGCAATACGCCATTAGTCATAAATCAAAAGTCAGAAGCTAAAAATTGATCAATCACAGTCGTCAATTTTTGACTTCTGATTTATGACTAATGGCTCATTGTAGAAAGCCCATTATGCAGGATGTGCACAATGGGTGCTTTCCATTTGATGGAAACACAAATCGACACAAACGTCATTCTATCACAAATATTTCATCCTTCTTGACATTTAGAGTGACAAAGATAGAATGATAAAGATAAAACAACTTGTGTCAACTTGACACCAAATGGAAAACATCCAATAGAAGTCGTAGCGGTCATACACTGAGAAAAAAAATATCGAAGTATTGCGAAGCAATTGTTACTTATGACATTTGATTGTGATATACATTTCTGAAATATATCTTATTAATTGCGAAAAAGTAAAACAGATGGCTTATTTGCTAAGAATAAAATTTTATTTCAACCGTATAAATAACCGTTTAAATAAATTCAGTGAAATAAATATATTTTTAGGCATCTTTTTCTCAGTACGAGATCTTAAGGTTCCTAGTTCCACGAGTTCCAAGTTCATAGTTAACTCTTAACTAAGATTCAACTTGTTTCTCTTTCCAATTCTAATTAAAATTAGAAAGAGACAATAAGTTGAACTTCGGTTAAGAGTTAATTATGAGTTGTGGATAAATTGGGCGTAAGTAGGAAATTGATCAATCATAGTCAATTATTCGTTTCATATTCGACTATGATTGGTTAATTTTTTACGACTTAAGACTCAACGACTTCCCCAGCAAATAATAATGGAATTGAAATTAATTGAAATAGATTCAGATTTATTTATTTTTCAGAAATATTAATTTATGAATGTTAAAATGAATGCTTTTAAATCCTGAATGTATTTTTAGGAATAGCATGGAGCATATCTCTATGCCTTTCAATCTAAAAATAAACTTTTTCTGTGCATATAAACACAATTGTGAATACTGTTCTATTCAAAATTTTGAATAGAAAATGCATTTTTTCAATTGCATCCAATTGGATCCAATTGGATCTAATTAAATCCAAAAAAAGTATTCGCTATTTAAAATACGCATTCGGTTAGAAAAAAATTTCAATCCATTTCAATTCATTCTCGTTTGCTGGGTCTAAAGACTCGAAGACGTTACGACTTCTATTGTAAACCCCGTATTATCCTTCGAAAATTAATGAATTCAAATGGTGCTGATCATAATACTCAATACATATTTTCAAGGTTAAAGTTATATACATATTATTGTATGATTATAAGAATGTTAGCTTCACAACTCGAATCGGTGGTATAATATAATACGAATTTGCCGAGATTCAACCAATAACCGCGTTAAACTCAGATCAGCCTCTATTTTCTTTCGCGGATTAAATCTTTTTTGACTATATAATTAGACGACGATTGCAAAAATTAAGATTTTGTCTAACAAGTTGAATTAATACACACATTAAATTATAAACCTAGTCTGAAATACAACTGCAAGCTACAAAAAAGTATTTGTATAATGAAACTCGAAATTTTAATACATAAATGATAAATTGTTAAAGTAGGATACTAAAAAGTATTGGATTTTCCGAAAAGTTTGTGCCGATTTTCCAAAAAAATCGCAAACATATTTCAAGACATTTATATTAATATTTTTATGTGTAGATATTTTTATTCAGTTGTATTATTTTTATTTCTGCATCTAAGAAAACGTGAAAATTTTATTTATTTAAAACTTGTTGATTCTTCTAGCGAATACTTTCGAAGATATGACATAAACTTTCTGAATAACCCAACGTAATGGATATGTTAATAGCAAATTAAGAATACAAGACAAATAAGTGATCCTAGATCAAATCATATTTCAATACTTTTCTCGCCTTTTTAATATACAATCGCATCATATTAATTGATATTCACTGTGCTAAATAAATGTTTGACTCTGACACCGTTGATAAAGCAAATTCATTCATTCATGTATGCCCTTTCACGTGATTGGGAACTACAGACCTTCACACATTTCTGTTGAACCATTTTTATAGAAACGTTGCTCGTACAAAGAGAGACAAGTTCATCGAGTGGAGTTAAAGTATTGTAATTGCTACTAAAGTTTTACGCAAGAAAAAATGTTTCATGCTATTTTATATTTCTGATACTGTATATCATAAAGCATCCTTTGCGCGATAAAAAAAATCATCGAGACGATAAAAAGCACGATTTTGGACACGGTAATTAATGGATATCTTATCAATATCTACCTATCTAAAGGTTTGTCCTTTCTGACCTCTCGAGAGAGAACTCACTCATTCTCTTTCTTCTCTTTCATATTCATATACATCATGCACATACATTGGGCACATTCCATTTAGCGTTTGCAATGTTCGCAAGCATCATTTCGTCCTTGTTTATTCTAATATCAAACAAAGATGAAATGATGCTCGCGAGCATTTCCAAATAAACTATGTCTATGGTTATGAACGCCAAATGGAATACACTCATTGTATACTTTTTTCACTTTTAGTGCAAAAAGTATAACATAGTATAAAGAGGCAACATATCTGTTACAATTACATCGCATTTATATGCAATTACTTCACGTATCTTCAATGTACAGAGTAGTCAAAAAATGGGGTCATTGAACTCTAACGAGCGTACTCGTTTCCTTGATCTGATCCGACTTTAGGAATCTTGCTCAGCAAGTTCGTTCAATTCATTGCCAATTAAGTTAATCAGTATTTAAAATTGGAGACACTATGGAAAGAAAAATATAATGTGCGGTCGGTCGTTTCGATTCTCAATTATGAAGCACTGGTTTTGGAGAAAGATTGACTTTTTGATCAACGTTTGTTAAACGAAGATATTAATATTGTTACTCTTGTTGTTAATATCCGTTGTTATACCATTACTTGCGCAAGCTTCCTTCATAACGTACTAAATTCGGGGATCCGAGGTTTTTTCTTTGCTCAATGAGTTATTAAGCTTTTCTGATTTTTTGGTTTTTTTCTTGTTTTCCTTCTTTTTTAAATTTTTTTTCCCCCCCCGAAATCCCGGATTCAGTCTCGGTTTGGTAGACGAAATATTGTCCCACCTATAATAAAAGATTCTACTCGTAATCATCAAATGTTTTAATAACCAAGAGATATACATCTCTCAGTTATGTACTTTTCTTTCTCTCTCTCTCTCTCTCTCTCATACATACACACATTTTCTCTTTCTCTCTCTCTTTCTCTCACACACACTCTCTCAATAAGGTTGATGTCTCTGAAATTGACGCGGTCCCGGACCATTACCTCGCGGTTTGGGACCATATCCCATATTGTCGTAGCCATCGTAACCAGCATAATCGTAGTTCGCATACACGTCATCGTAGTTATGATAACCGTTGTATTCGGGGATGTAGCCATAACCGCCACCATATCCATATCCGTAGCCAGGCGCCCAGAAGCCCTGATTTCTTGGATCCGGATTGACCTTGACTTTCTTTACGTCTACCTCCTTACCATTAATCGTTTGCTTAGGCGTCTTCAATAACTTATACACAACTTCTTTCGAATCAAACGTGATAAAGCAAAAGCCTTTACGTTGATTTTTGACTTTATCGAAAGGCGCCTGTAGTTCGACAATGGTACCATATTGGCTGAAGTAGTTCTTAATGTCGTCGTCAGAAATCTCGGGAGTAAGACCACCCACAAAGATTTTACCATGTTGAGGTTTTTTACTAACACGCTTCGGATCAACCTATATATATATATAAAAAAATGCTGTTAGTATACAGATACAATGGAATAGACATGAGACGATGAAAGTTTCATCTATATCTCTCGCTATATTGCAAAAGTTTATAAGAATGCAGTGTATGACTTCTCAATATTAAATTTAAAATTAGTAAAATAAATCTTGCCTAATTGTAGTGGTATTACTCCAGTTACCTTGCGCTTATTGATGTAATGCTCGCCTGATGCAAGAAGCTTATCGATGGTCTTTGGATTGGTGAACACCATGAACGCGAAACCGCGTGAAATACCGGTATGAGGATCGACCTTCACCGAAATGCTCTCGATCTCGCCAAATTTCCCAAAGTGATCTCGCAACTCTTTATCGGTTGTATTTCGAGACAAGCCGCCAATAAAGAGCTTCCGCTCATCGTCCTTGCCAGGAATACCGGCGGTTGCCTGTTGCTGCGATTGTGACGAGGAGTGCTGATGCTGACTGTGCTCCTGATTCTGAGATTCATTCGGATGTTGGTTGCCTGATTGATCCTGCATGCCGTCTGTCTGTGGCTGATTCTGGAAATCTACCGCTGCCGCCATCGTGATTTCTCAAGCGTTCCTCGAACACGTCTCCGTTCAAGATAGACAAAGCGAGCCCGTGTCCTAGACCTCGGTGCCGACTGCCAGCTACGTTAAGGTGCGTCGTCTCCCGGTTTACGAACCGAAATCGGAGCACGATCTGCAGGCAGATATTCTACGCGCGTGGCACGAATCCGTAACTTATACTTGGATAGTGGCTTAAATAATGACCGGTGTGCTGCCGGCTTAGCCTACGAGAAAGGAAAGGAAAGGAAAGGAAGACAACTTCCGCGTCACGCCGCAGCAGTTCCGCGCCGCGACGAGTCGAGCTCTCTGATTCGTCGTCTCCGCCATTGTTGCATCCGTTAACCAATTGACGCGCGACACCGACAGCGATGGTTACGACAACTGACGGTATTTTCCGATACTAACCATGACAAGAACGCCGGAAGTTATTCTCAAGTTCTTTGTCGTTTCAATCTCCCTCAATTTCGGCACTATTCATCCAGATTTTCGCCACACCGCGTCGTTTTGATCGCATGCGTTGTACATCAACGTTGCCAACCTGAAAAATAAATTCGTATTAATTTAGAATCGAATCGATATATTGGGTCATCTAAAAAGTATCCGCGATACTTTATCACTAGATATATGACCATCAACACATATCTAGTGACAAAAAACCGCGGATACTTTTTAGATGACCCAATATTTGAGAATATTTAGGATGCGTTCCACGCATGATGTATCATTTTAGCTTTTATTGGGAGCTTTTCAACAAAGACACAAATCGACACAAGAGTCATTCCATCTTTGTTTCTTATTAATTATTCAACAAGGACAGAATGTTTCTTGTTTCAATTGTGTCTCTTGCTGAAAAGCTCCCTTTAATATTCAATGAACAAGGATAAAATGATATATTATGTGCATTATACAAACAGAATGCATCTTTTTAAGCGGGGAGCACAAACTCTTGCATAACGCATAAATATAAGGTATAAGAAAATTAACCAATCAGAATTTTTTATTTCATGGAAAGGAAGGAAACAAAGAACTTTGATTGGTACATTTTCTTATGCATTACGTGTTATTCGTTATGCAAGAGTCTCCCTGTTTAAGTCTCGGATCTATAATAGATTTTTAAGCTTTAAGCCATAAGGAATGGAATCACAATCATCACTTATTCTCCTCGCATTCACTGTAGTTGGTCAATTTCTTAAAGCTTAAAAATCTATTGTAGATCCGGACTAAAGGGCTCCGCACAATAAAAGGAACAGAGAGCAGAGAACAAAAAGAATAAGAATTTTAATCTATCAGAAATCATATATTGTGGAATACACAGTTTCTGATAGGTTGAAATTCTTATTCTCTGTTTTCTGTTCCCTGTTCTTTTTATTGTGCAGAGCCCCTGAATCAATTATATGTCTTTTTACAAATCTTATTTTCAAAATGAATATATATTTAAGGGATCTTGTGATTGGCTTATTGATCATTACGCCAGCGTAAATAAGATATTCGATATTTGTGCTAGCATAACGAAAACGGGCATAAAGTCTATGATTGGCTTAGGCTACGTTCCAAAACTTCCTCTCTGAGGAAAATTTTATTTGAAATATATATAGTACATGTAACGTATACTATAGCATATAGAGTAAATCTTCCTTGAAGAGGAAGTTTTGGAACTCGCAGTAGTAGTAGGCGGTACATTTCGCTTGTCTGCTTCTGTCTTTCCGCGAGTTCTGATTGGCTTCCGCTTTTCCTCTTTCCGTTTTTCCGTCAAGATGTGAACCCGCCCTTAAGTCCGGTTGCACCAACGTTACTTTAATTTTAAGCGAGGCTTAAAACTCTCTTTGTCTCTGTCTCTTTACGGTTTTAAAACGAGATAGAGAGAGTTTTAAGTTTCGCTTAAAATCAAAATAATGTTGGTGCAACCGGACCTTAGTTCCTTTACGTTGTACGATTGTATGCCATACGCTGGCTTCATGGGACTTCACCTTAAAATTTTCCTCGGAGAGGATGTTAGGAATGTAGCTTGGACTGTTTTGCTGGACAAAAATGGCAGTGAAAACGCTGCTTGAGTATAATTATAAACTAACTACCTCTTGAGTTTGGCTCTCTTTTATTATCTTTATTTTCGCAGACGAGACATTGATGTCGAAGTCGCCGCGGCAAACGCAATTTCTTCGATTTCAGGTGAGTGTAATAAAAATCGATATCTATTGTTCATCACCGCAACATTGTACAGTAACCTTTCATATATTTTTGTGTTTTCTTCAATTTTTTAAAATAGAATTACTCACTCCAGAGCATCTATAGGAGTAATTTCAACTTATAATTCGTGCACGAGAAACTCACCGGAACAGTAGCGCTTGAAACATAACCTGATTTAGCAATGTGATATCGACTGAATCGTTTCATGTCACATAAATAAACTCTATAAATGTATCTCCGATTTTTTATCTTATTTTCTATTTCGCGGGAAATAAAAATTCATATATTACAATTTATCACATAATTTAGAAAAGAAGATCCTTTTCAGTCTGCAAATGAATTTATCATCTTGAACTGTCCAATGTCCAATGCAGTGAAAATTTTAGCATTTTCTTGTTTCTGATAGCTACATTGATTGTAGCATTTTACTTGTACAAAATTTTATTTTCAAATATATTAATATGTTTATATTTAGAATAATATATTTATTTTATTGTCACTGATGTGATTTCTTCTTTATTTATGTATGAAGTACATCAGATAACAGAAATGTCAGGTAAGCGAACTGCAACAACAGAATTGAATCACGACAACTGGAATGAGGAGAACGAACCGGAGGATGCAGGAACGTTTGCACTGGCTTCAAATGATATACTTGAAAAGAGAGTTATAAAAACAGCAAGGCGTCGTTTGCCATCGAAGGACGTAAGTATATATCTTGATTATTTTTTTTATCTGAATTTTCCTGCCTTTATCACTGTTCTATGTTAATTATTTCAGGGGATTCCAACGAAAAGTGCATTTGGGTCGTTTACAGGTTTCAAAACTAATCCAAGTTTATCTCCATTCGGTTTTTTAGCTAATACAAGCACTACTTCTAGTACGACTACTTCTACTGCATCAGCAACGACTGTAAATACAAGTAACAAGCAGACTGCTAGCAACGGTGCTCCTAAGATTCCCGAAATTGATTCAGATAAAAGAGAGGATTTTACCAAATTACAAACATCATCAAGTACAAGTACGAGCAAAAAAAATTCAGTTGAACAAGGAACTGAAAAGACAAAGAGCCACTCGTCGGATTATTACGCAAAATTGAAAGGACTAAATGAAAGCGTTGCTACATGGATAAAGAGCCATGTAGATGCAAATCCATTTTGTATATTAACACCTATATTTAAGGATTATGAGAGATATTTGAAAGAAATTACATCAAAAGAAGAAAGTAGCAAGACACAAATTTCGCATACTTCAGAGCATATAACGCAGGCTGCGAAGAACGATATTAAAGAGATAAGTTCAGAAAAGAAACCAGAAAAGTCATTGTTTGGGAATTCAAACGCGAATGCAAAGTCTACTTTAACCACAGGAACAGAATTAAAACCTGAGAAGTCAATATTTTCCAACATCACCACGAATACCAAATCTGTATTTAGTAATACAGAACAGAAAACAGAAAATCCCAAATCTGTGTTTGGTAGTACAGATATAACTCCTGATAAGAATAAGTCTATTTTTGGAAGCACAGAGTCAAACGTTGCTAGTAAAAGTGTATTTGGCAATACAAGTGTGGAAAGTCCCTTCGCAAACAAATCTACCGTTTCAGATAGTGGAAATAAAGATGAGGAGGAGATATCCTCCAACGCGAAGTCTGTGGCCCCTACTTTTCCCACTTTTAGTTTTGGACAGAGTTCTACTACCAGTAACGTGTCTGCTGGATTTAGTTTCGGAAGGTAATTTGTTCATTAACTTATTTACTATATCTTATATTGAACAAGATACAAAAACACATTTTTATAATTTGCAGTGCAAAGCCATTTTCATTTGCTCCTCAAGCAGTAAAACCACAAGAGAAAACCGAGGACAAAACAAGCAATGAAAATAAAGATGAAGAAGATGAAGAACCGCCGAAACAAGAATTCAAACTGGTAACTGAAGAAGGTGCTACTTATGAACAAAGGTAAGTTATACATTATAATTTCTTAACTTATTATACAAATATCAAAATAAAAACTACACAAAACTTTTTAAAAAGTTTATCTTTACATTATAAAGTAACTCTCTTAATATATAAATTATCTCTCAATATCAAATATATTTTTTTATAGGTGTAAAGTCTTCGTAAAGAAAGACAACGTTTATACTGATAGAGGCATCGGAATGTTGTATCTGAAACCAACACCGAATGGAAAGACGCAATTAATAGTACGAGCCAATACTGCTTTGGGTAATTTGTTACTCAATACCCTATTGACTCAAAGCATTCCCACGAAGCGCATGAACAAGAATACGATAATGTTGGTCTGCCTACCAATGCCAGATTCTTCACCACCACCAGTCTCAGTGCTGTTAAGAGTGAAAACTAGTGAAAACGCGGATGAATTACTGGAAGCGTTGAATAAACATAAAAAGTAGAAAGTACACGAAATTTGACTTAACGTATTTGAACGACGTTTTTTTTTGACGTTACTTTAAAGCTTGAAGAATGAAGCAAATGCTAATCCATGGAATATTTGTTCATCAATGTAATGATTTTGTATTGAACTTTATTCTCATCATTCCATAAAATCTAAATTTTGCGATTGCCTAGGAACTTAACATGATCATGAGAAGCATGTATGATGTAAGAATACAAGGTTTCATTCTCGAGATACGCGATTAGTCAAAAAATTAGTCCAAAATGTTATAAATCAATATAGAGGTGATATTTCATTTATCCGTTTTTGTTGTACAACAAAGGCTGCAGGACAAAGCACGAGTGGCAACCTTCAAAGACCGGAAACCTCCCAGAGAATATCTTTGCCCACAGAAACACCTCTCAAAAAACCGCCGTTCGGAATTGACATTAAAACTAGGTCCCATTCAATTGAATAATCAACGGGCGCACCACAAACATATGAGAGAGTAACACAGAGATCTAACGTAAGAAGAAGAAGATAAAGATCAAAGAAGTTCTCGGATTTCTTTATCCTATAGCTAATCAGAAAGCTTGAAAAATTTGTTGTACGACAAAAATGCAAATGTAATCCCACCCTTAAACCGATATTAGAAATTTATTATCAATAAGAAATTTGCTACAAAATTACATTCGATCATGCGCAATAAATTATCTTCTATTCTTACGTCATGAAGAATAAGCGAAGAAAATTTTTTTTTAGATATCAATAATAAATTTTTTCCAATTGTTATTTACAGATAAAAAAGTGTAAAAAGGTAAGTCTTTATATAAGAATACAAAAATGGAATAGTTTCTAAAAAAATGTCTCAATTTACATGTATGACCATTATTGGAATGAGTGTTGCAATTGTAATCAATAATGTAATAATAATAATTGGAAATATATGTACAGTATGTATAGTAGAAATATAATAGTATATATTATGAACGAAGCAATTTGTGCTTGTAACAGCTGCTGAAATGTTCTATATTGTTAATTACAAAGTAATTGTACTACAGAAGTTAATTACAAGTGTAAAAGTATTATAGATTATATGGATTGCCTGATATCTTACAAAACAAACTTCATAACTTATTTATACTAATAGTGCATAAATTAAGTAAAAAGTTTGACGTTCTATAAACATTACGTTATGTTTTAAAGAGAATTTATTGTGAAATAGGTTACATTCAATTATCAGTGAATGATCAGGGTAAGAAATATTCATTTTATAAATTATCAATCTTTTACTCTATTACTTTGTTTATACATTTGTTATATTTACTTAATTATACGAAATTATTCTATTTCAAAAATTAGTCATTTTATTTAAAAGTATATTTTCTTTGGGTTGACTACACGTGATTCGAATGAACAATTATACATAAATATACAAATATTTATATTAAAAAACATATTATTTAGTGATTCAAATTTTTTAGCGATTCATGTTTGTAAAAAGAATATCAGCATAAATTTTTAGATATAAATTGATTAAAAAACATTTTTTATTCGTGACAATAAATTTCGTTATAATTAGTTGAAACTTTTAAATTACACTGCGAAGAGCCTCTCTCTCATAACAAATTATGTAGTTATCTATATAAATCGACTGTATACATACTTGTATATATATACATAGGGTGATTTTAATATATTTCGTCATCCATCATGAGCAAGTAGAGTGAATCGAACTGAGTCGAAAAGTCATCTACCATTTTGCAGTTTACGCAATAGTTAACGAGATTAATTATTAAAAATTGCCAAATGGTAAAGAACTTTTCGACTCAGTTCGATTCACTCTACCTGCTTATGATAGGTGATGAAATATGTTAAAATTACCTTGTATATATATATATACACACACACACAAACCTGAATTTTTTTAAATTTCAATGAATATAATTTTTCCATTTGCACATATATTATCGCAACTGAGAGTAAATTGCCTTTTATATTTATGCCTAATTGAATAATACATTCAGAGACTCAGACTGAATTTACATTATGATTTAAAACTTAAGGATGATTATGATCATAATTAAAGGCTGCGCAACTTTCGGTTTCGAGGTTGATTTCAGTTCTTTTTAGTGATAACGGTGACCGTTACAGGTATACAATTACCAATACCGAAAAAGATCGAAATCTAAATAGACCGAGTCAAGTAGCACAGCAGTGCTTGCAAAGCACTAAAACAGCGATTATATGCGCTTTTTTTAGCGCTTTATTAACGCTTTGTAAACGCTATGTGCTACTTGGGATAACCATTACGGTAAAAGAATTGAAATCAAAAGTTGGATTTAGCTTAAGACCGAAATGTTTCGGTTCGAATCTTTGCATACAGTACATAAAATTCTAAAAAAATGAACATTTTTAGATATTCAATATGTTCAATAACATTATCCAACAGTACACAAATATTTCTCTAAGTTATCTAGTTTACAACGTGCACTTCATATGGATACTAATTAATAATTTTTTTTATTAAATTATTTTAATTTTAGCAATACGAGTAAACGTATACACATGTGTATTTAAGTAATCATATTGTATCAATTTAGTATATCATTCCTTAAATACATCGAAATAAAATAATTTAATAGAAAGTTATAATCAGTACATATATCAAGTGTATGATGTAAACTAGGCCAGTATCTCATGAATATGTCGTTAAAGAAACTGAAGAACTGATATATTCTGTATATACAAAATAGCTTAAATCTTATATGTATATTGTGTAGACATGCACTTTACATGGCAATACATTATTAATCTATACAAGATGAGAAAATACAAGGTTAGAGTTTCTTGCTTTCTAAAAATATCGTGATACGTGATCGTCTGTTATACTGTACACTTGGTGAGAATATACGAGTTGTTCCATCTTCAAACTCTCTGTGCCATAAAAGGCGTAAGAGGACCCATTTGTCCTAGGCCTACTTGAATGTGTTGCATGTGAATTTCAACGCAGTTTTGAAACACTTGCTGATTCTGTGGGCTGAGTTTTGATCTTATCTGCTCTATGGTACCTTGTAATACTTTGAGCTCATATGCGTTTCGATCAGAATCTGATAAGCTCTGCGATAAAGGAAATTATGTTTTTAGTTATTAGATAAGCAAGGGATAAAATAAATTCAATAAAAATATCCATTTATCTTACTTTCACTTGTAACATCAACGCAGTCAAATCGGTTACCAATTGATTCATTTTTCCTGGTTCTTTATCGTTCATTACGTTATTTTTAGCGACCATATCTGCCGCTTCTTGTTTGCATTTCTCTCGGAGATGTGACGGTGCCAACATCGCTGCTACGCTAGGTTCGGGCGCCATTTCCTGACACAGTTCTTGTATCTCATTCAAAAAGTCTTGGAGAGCTCCATTCATTCTCTCCAACTCGACAATAATTCTGAAAACAACAGAAAAGTATATTAAAAGTAATATATATATATAATATATTTAATTAACACAATTCTTTATGTATTTAACTAGCCGTACCCTGCATATTTTTTTTCAAAATCGGGAGGAAGCGATTCACCTAAAGAACGTCTCTTCTCAGCTTCTCCATTCATTTCTTTCAATTTCTTGACTTTATTCTTCTTGGTTGTTAATATCTTATTCACTTTGACCATAAGTTCAAGTAACTTGAGTGGAAAACCATTCACTGTACCACCGGTATTCGTCTTTTTTGGAATGGAGACAGATGCATTCGATATTAAAGGGTCATTGGTCAATCGCGGAGATAACTTCATCATGTATGGTGATGAAGGTGCATATTGCAAAGGCCGTGGTCTGAACTTTTGGGAGAATGATGTCAAGCTGATTGTCTCCGGTGGTTCATTCGACTAATTGAAACAAATCATATATTAATATATAAATGTAAACGTAGACATTTTCCTTGGAGAGAACAAGAGACATACCAAAACTTCGTAATCAGGGACACTATGCGTCCCAAGTCCAGCTCTCTCAAACGTAATTCTGTAAGTATTATTACTGGTATCAACAGCGTCGATGCTTCCAGTGAATAAACCATCCTGCGGTTTCCTTAATCTTGCTGTCACTTTCGTACCGATTACTAATTGCAATGGTATTTCAGGTGGCAGATCCTTGAAACTGCTTATGTCTGTCGTCTTCCTTTGCTGTAACATCCGTATTTTCTGCCTCTTCCTTTCTAATTCACGTCTCTCCTCCTCGAAGAACGACTGCGAACATCTTCGCGGCTTGCCCATCATCCTTCTAATCTTGCACCATTCCACGCGCGTGAGTTTGCGACTTTTCAATTGCGGAAACGATTCTTTCAAGCATATCATGAAGTCATTATCGCCCTCAAATAACACCCTGCAAGAAAAAACATTATATGGAACATTAGGAAAACTAATTTATATCTCCGATACCATTATAAAAATCTATATTTTTGTATTATTTCATTAGTATTACTAATAAAATAATACTAAACAATAGATAAATATAGATAAAATAGAAATACAATAATTATATTTATACATACTTATCTATATTGCTGTAAAACCATTCGTAACACACCCATTTATGCGCCTTCGGTAACTTTAACAAGTTCCTTAATCTCATGCCAATTTTCTGTCCTATTTTACGATCCGGCGATGTAAGCTGTGACAGTTTATCAGGCTCTTTCTCTTGTTTGATTGGAGTCATTACAGGAGTTGTTGGTTGCGATTGAGAAGATGAACTTGTACTTTTTGGTGTGGTTGATATCTTAGTCTGCCTCTTCACTGGTGATGGCCGCATCATCTTTTTGGGGGATTGTTTTGCATCTACAGCCGAAGGATCTTTCTTGATTCTGTAAACATCATTATTATACATCAATGAATTGGAAAAAAAATTGTTTAATTCAGGACTATCACAAAATTGGAAATAAAGGAAATAGGGAAATTGAAAATGATCAAGGAAATCAAGAAAAAGTTAGGGAATTTTGCAAAGTTTCTTGGAAAATTAAAATTCCTGGCTTTAAAGAAGTTTAGCGCTGCAATTATCGTTTTTCTGCCTGTCTGATTAATCATAATTTTTATTTTTAATTATGAAAAGAATAATTCACCTGTGGTGTGGATGATTGATCAAGATGTCATCATAGAACAACTTGTTCTTTTTCCTAATTCTCGCTGGCATCCCTCTACGATTCAATACCTGTACCGGTTGTGTAGGTGGATTGGGTTTGGAAGGTGGCTGAGTGCCTACCCTTTGCAGACCTAAAGCTGCAGGTCCTAGCTCCGGTATCGGTTCTGACTCCTCTGTATCCATTTGCTGATCCGAGTGATTCAAATTATGCTGCTCATCCATATCCATCGTATCATCTTCAATCTCAGTCTTGATTTCATCAATGGATGGATATCCACCATTTTTTATGGACAGCAACGCTTCCGCAGATTCACCTGAACAAATTTATTCAAAATCACTACATGTACATGCGATATTAAATAGAGAAATAATTTCTTCTGATATAAAATCCATGTTGCATGTAGCTTAATGATCTACAAATAAAGTTATTAAGTAAGAATTATTTCAATAATTACATATTACACAGTAAAGATCGGCAACATTATATCTAAGAGTCATACAAATTAATATCACAAAGAAAATTGAGAAATTAAAAAAAAACGCATATACCTAAGCTGAGACTGTATCACAATAATCAATGTTTTCGCGACAAAATATAAAAGCGAAAATCCAAATACAGACGACGAGAAAATGCATATAACTATCCCCTCGGTCTGAGGGTAAAATTCCGAGAGCGTCAAATTGGCGGTACGACAAATTCGCGAGGGAATATCGACCGTGCTCCATCAGCACAGCAGGGACGACATAACCAAACTCAGGAGGGGATGTTTGATAAACAGACCACGCGGACGGTCGGACTCGTGGTGGCCATCGCCGCAGTCAACGCTGCGGATCGGCGCGACATATAGGCACTCCGCCGTCGGGCTCGGCCACGGGGTAACGCCGAACACGAAATTCACAGCGGAATCCCGCTTGAATCGTGTGTTGGCGATTTTTGAAATTTTAAACCCGATCCGCACCCAATCGCCGTTCGAACGGCGATTGCGGACGGCACGGGATCGCTGGTAGCGGCGCGATCCGTCGAACCGCTAAATCGGGAACGCGGATTCCGCGGGTATCGATCGCCGTGGCCGCCCGCGGACGCTTGCCCCGTTAATTTCCCCGAAAATAAACGCAAAGTTTACTCACTTTCAATCACGTCCGCCATGTTGACAATCAGTGATGCATCATGGGTACGTACTTCCGACTCTATCGGGTTCATCGGTCCGCCATCTCGTGTAGCCGGACCTGGTTGGCGATTGGCGCCGTCCCGGAAGTCGCACAACGCGGGGTCGGTAAGGTATGCAAAAATCTGCGATTGTGGTAAATTCTCGATCTCCAAAATATTTTGCGCAGCGATTAGTCGAGTAACAATACGCTGCTGCCTCTCGAGATCCGGTCGTGAAGGATTCATTTCTCAAATAAATAAATAATTATATACAAACCTTTTTATTTTAAATAACGTATAACTAAACAGCAGACTTTAGCGGCAAAAATAAGTTAACCTCTTCGTTTTTTAATACGATTTTTATTAAGCTCGCGCAAAGAGCTCTAATTAAAAATTTGAAACCTTGTGGTTACTCTTTTTCTTTGTTTAAAGTAGCACTTAAATTAGTACACCTTGTACAATCACTTCTATTAATAAACATATGAATGTATAAGTAATTTCGTAATTCTCTGTAGCTGCATTAAGATGCAATTTCAATTAAAATAAAGAATTTGCATAATTAGACGTTTGAAAAGAAAAGGAGAAAAAAAGAAAATAGGTGCAAAACATAAAAAGTTTAGCTATAATTAGTTTGCACCCATTTTCTCTTTTTATCTTCTTTTTTATTTTCAATGTCCAATTATGTACATACATGCTTTATTTTAATTGAAATTGCATTGCAGCTGCAAAGAACGGAATTATTTATACATTAAAATGTTCATTATTAAAAATAATTTTGCAAGTTACACCTTCTGCACTTACTATGAAATAGGTGTATAATTATTCATTGAAAAGAGAAGGAAAAAAGATAAAAAGTACAGCTGCATGCATGGGCATGCGCAGTTTATTCGCCACTTACTTCAAATAGTACGCTTCAATAGGCGCTTTTTCGTTTGTATTTTAATTTTCTTGAATTTTTTAAAACGGCTATGTATATCGTTTGGATCATTATTGTATCTTTAACAAGTAAAAACTGCGTGGCTACTAATGATACGTTTGTAAATGTTAACAAATACTGCAGAGATAAAGACAGATTGATTACATCTGAGGAGAATGACGAATATTTGCTCATCGCTGCTGAGAATAATACGAATATTATGCTAGCGTGTCGCTTTTGGTAAGAATTGTTCAGATACACAATTAAAATAAATAAAGTAATGTGTCCATAAATCCACAAAAAAGTGATACCTTCCTTGTTTATTACTTAAATTAACTTTCCGTCTACTATCTAGATTTTTGGCACAAGCGAAATTTCACTCTCAAAAATTTCTCTTAAAATCTTTGAAATAAAGGAAGGTGGAATCCGAGTTTTCTTACTATAGCTTACTTACATACTTAATATTGCTGTATATTTTTTAACAAATTCCGTTTTTCTTTATTTTGCTCAAATTTCAATTTTTATTAAATATAGGTTTTATTTGAGTTAAAAAACTATTTGATGATGTATTAGAGATATTGACAAATAACACTCAATTTTTTTGTATTCTTTGAAAGCCTAGAACAAAAAATTTAAGCAGAACAAAGAAAATCCATATTGCAGATGAAAAAATTAAAAATATGATTACAGACGGAGGATTAAACAAGTCTAAGAGCGATTTTGATCAAACTCTCATTTAATTGGTGATCAATTTGTCAAATAATATGTGTAAGGAAAGAAAAATTAAATTAGTAACAATAAATTGTATAGTTATGAAATTTTACTTTAAATCTATCAATCTTCTATCAATTGAATTTATTATCTATTAAATCAATGAAGTTTAGTTAAAGTCACCTAATTTAAATTAAAATTTTCTTTAATTAATTTAGTTAATTATTATGATACTTTTTCGGAATATGAGAAATATGTTTTTCTAAAAGATAAATTTTTTGACAAATTATTGGGAATATTGGGATCTAAATTTTCGCAGAAGCAATGACCATGAAGAACCTCAACCAAAAATTTGGTATTATCAAGATCGTTATCGAGAAAACCCTGAAAAGGAAGTCGAGTTGGAAATGAATAATAACATTTCGTACAGTAGAATCTATACAATGCCGGATCTTTCTCTAGTCATAAAAAACTTCACAGTCATTGACGCTGGCATTTATCGATGCCATGGCAAAGAAGGACAAGAGGAAGAAAAAAAATATAATTATAGGATCGAACGTAAAATAATATGACAATTGATATAACATTTGATTTTGTTATACTATGTTGAAAGCATATTTCAAAGCTTAGCTGCACTTTTAACGACAAATTCTTACTAAAATTTTTTTACTAATTATGATATTTTCCTTGTTACAATTAACTTTTAAAATGTTAACTTTAATTATTCCGTCTTTATTATAATTTTTCTGATATTTATTGTATATCCATATTTCATTAATATTTATATTAATAAATAATTCTGAGTATTAAAATTAATATTTAATTTTGTTGGATAGCACTTCTCAAGGATATTGGCGGAGAATTTTTAGAAAAGGGAAACCTAACAGAATGGGGAAAGTATCAAGAAATATATTTATGGCCTGTCAATACGAAATTTGCAGTGAGTTAATAAACTCTTAGTTGATAAGAAAAATTATAAAATATACATTATATCCTTTTATTTAAACAATGAATGGACAGAGAATTATTTTATTAGTAATTTTTTTTAGGAATCATAACGCGTCACAATTAATAATTTTTTAAGTTAACGTGATTTCAAAGAAAGGAATCTTTCGGCAGGTCTCGAAAATGACTGACTTAGCGGAAATTCGTGAAGAAGGGGTAATCCTTCAGGTAATATCTGAATGGGGTCCCTGGAGTCCATGCGAACAATGTATAAATAAGCGTGGTATTAAAACCAGCAGGGGCTACTGTAGATTAAAGCGCAATATAAATTCAGTAAGTGCTATGTGTATTTTTAATCTTTACATAATCAAACATGAACGATTTTATAATCTTTGATCACTATTTTATTAATTACTTTATTAATATTTATTTTTAGACAATGATAGAGAAAAATGATTCAGTCATTATACATTTTTTCCGAGGATCTCCAATGCTACCTTGCAGGTAAATGTTTATAATTTCAAATTTCGATTTTTCTAATAGCGATTTTTTATATGGTCACATAACGAATTTAAAAAACGTTATTCTCAGATCTGCCCTGCTTCAAAGTGAATTTCCCAGTATTAGTCGTATCGTACGATATTTGCCAGAATATATTTTAACAAAACCTTGCAAGAAGTGTCCACGCATAAAAAAAAGGAAGAAAGGCGTGTTTCGTTACGTCAAACGATACGTTCTCGCCGAAGGTGCACGTCTCGCCGTAACTTGTCCAGAGTAATTTGCCAAAAGATTTCTCGATCGTATCTTTTTTATTAAATTCAGTCAATCCTTTCTCTCTCACGCCTAATTATAGAATATATTTCATATAATTAAACACAAAAATTGAAAACAGACAATATATTTTGAATGTAGATCGACTATAGAGACGCAAGTAATTTGGAAAAAGGACGCGCTTACTTTGAAGAAGGGAACGGCTCAGTCATTTCGTCAAAAAGATAGAGAAGCCCGAGTGATAATAGATACTTTCTCAACGCTCTATTTAACAGGTAACTTAATAGTACACGTATATTAATTTTTTAAGTTTTATACAAACACAGTTCGAAATATATTTATTTATTTATTCAAACGCATGACAAAAATTGTATAGTTTCTATGTGTAAAAATTTCTAAACTACATATTTTTTCTCGACAGACGTGTCCCAAGAAGAAGAAGGTAATTATACTTGCTACGTAAATAACATTAATATGATGCGCATGAAGATCATCGTTGTACCTAAAACTCGGCTTTTGACGCAAGGTCAGTTAAAACTTGCAAAGAAAATACATATAATAGCACACTTAAAATATAATAACAAAAATAAAAATTTTATTATTAAATTATAATTAATTGTAAAATGATCAGTATACATCACAAGTATGTATCAATTTTTTTATAAATGTATAAATTTATTCATTTGTTGTTTTTTTTAGCTTTCTTTCGGCATTTGGGCTACTTGGGATTTATAATTTTCATGACTTCAATCTGCTATTGTGGGGGTATAATAGTAGTCTGTCGGCAAAGAAACAAATTTCGATCCCTGCCGCAAGATGATCTTTCGGAAGAGGAAGTTGAATGATATCGTAATCAAAATGTAAATTATTTTGACATTATAAATTGATAATAATAATTACATATTATATGTTAAGTAAGATTTTTATCTTATTGTTAGATTATTAATCTTGTAAACCCGGGAAAAAATGATTTATATATAATTACATTTAATTATACAAAATTAAATAAAATCGTATATAATTATAAACGCGTAAAATTGACATAATTTATATACAATTATATGTAATTATATATAAAATATGTCTATATATAACATTTTTTCTCAGGAATATTTGGTATATTTTTTCTTACAATGCTTTTTACGTATTTACTAAAACTAAAAATTTTTCCAGAAGAATATTTAATTATTTAAGTTTATTTATTGACTGAGACACTATTAACTGCATGTTTTTATCATGCACATACGTACTTTTAATATTATTGTGGATAAATCTGTTGACATCTAAATTGTACGACTAGTTATCGGTAGAGAACGCTTCGTGAGACCTCGTGGCTATCTCCTTCGCGTTCCCTCGATCCGATCTTCTTCGGCACACTGTGACCTTAAAATTGAGTGAAAGGGGGAACTAGTAGAGACAGCTACAAGGCGTACATATCTGTCTCCAGACAGTTAAGTTTGATTCCAAAATGGCTGTGTTTTATCGTAGCTTCTGGCTCATTGTCTACAGTGGTTACTAACGAACTAATAGGCTCCAACTACAAAAAGACTGAATCCAGATTAAAAGCGAAATAGGATGAAACTTCAAACAAGCGTCCAAGCGATTATCCTGACTTTCTGTATAATCGCGCTTCAGGAATGTGTCGGTGAGTTTCTATCGCAAGTCAAAGAAACTTTCTCAATTATTTTATCTGCATTATCTTAAAATTTTTTATCATATTCTTAAATATCTTTTTAAAAAGTGACAACGTTTGATAATAGACGAATAACTAATGGTTAATAAATCAAGTCAGATAACCATATTTGATGAAATTTCTTTTTGTAAATTTTTTTTTTAATTGAAATTGCGCATAAAAAGAAAAATTCGAAATTTTTACAAGGTTTAATTAATACCTTATCTTTGACAAAAATTTTTATTTTGTTAATGAGAGATCTGAAATACAGTATTTTACTTATTGAATATTTATTTCTATATCTTATAAATAAAATAAATTTTCTGATTTAAATACAGATTAATTGTTATTAAATTCCAAATCATATTGTACAAATAATTTTGCTTTATTTAATGCTAAATCATAAGAAAATTCTGCATATCATTATCGTTCGATGTCTATGCGGCGCGAGTGAAATGACGCGGTAGCAAGTAAAAGTGACAGTTTCATTCGTCGCGTTATTGCAGGCATTCTTCGGAGATGTGTAAGCTGCAGATCGAGAGGAGATTTAGGCTCGTGTAAAGATCCTTTCACTATGAATTCTACACAAATTGCGCTCGAAAAAGGCATCGACGCGGTGCCGTGTGTTTCCGGATGGTGCGGAAAAATCATCGAGAGTCAAAATTTAAACAACGGTAAATTATTCCTGCTTCGAAAAAAGTTTTATTTAGCAACATAATTTAGTTCTATAAAAATACATATTTTTCGCAAAATTTATTTAATATTATATTTATATTATTAGGTGTTGGAATTAATTCGTAGCGTTTTACAAGTGATGGGAAGTACTTTCATTAATGTATTTTTTAATGCTCATGTGAAATAAATAACATTCTTTCATTAAAAACGCTACGAATTAATTCCAACACCTAATACATTATTAATGAAATTATTCATTAAATAGTAGGACTTAAAATTAATACAATTAGTTCAATTCTTTTGTAAAAAATTCTAAAAAAATACTAATAAATTTATATGTCACAGAATACGGTATCGCCACGCAGAGATTGTGTTTCCAGCGAGGTCCTGATGACAACGAAGAGAGATGTGCTTATACCGTGTGGAATTACAAGAAAGTGTACATGTGCCTGTGTTATGGAGATCTTTGTAACGGAACAATGAAAACGACTATCGCTAGTAGTTTTTTAATAACATTATCTGTATGTTTTACACGGTGGCTTATTTGAGGATGTATATGATACTTCGTCGTATGGATGGGATTAAAATGATTAAACTTCCTATGTATCCTTTATAGGAATCAGTACTCTTTGACGAATATGTATGTTGTGAATGTATGTTGTGAATGTATGTGTAAAATGTAATATGTGTTCTTTATAATGCATACCTAAATGCATACCTATACTCATAAAATAATCACAAGTAAGACGTGTTTTAATATTAAATGTATTTTTAGATATTTTTTATTTATTAATTAATTTTGTTAATTTGGAGTCAATTTGAGAAAAATGTACAAAAATCTGTCATTAAACGTTGACGCAGCATTAGTGGGACATTCATAATTATGTTATTATTAATTATTAATTTAAAATGTAATCTTGAATATATCATTCTTGTTCCCTCCGAAAATATACGTTAGTTTCTAACTAATTACATTTTATTGTAGTATGTCCACAAAATTTTGAAAATTATAATAAAAAAATATTATATATACGTACTGCAAAATTTAGCTCATGTTTGAATTTTTGTGCCCAGCAATATTAAATCATTCTTAGATTAATTGTCCCTTTTTATCTTTCTTGTGAAATGGAGACCTAGGATTTATACTGCTCAAAATGTGTCCATGCAAACCATTCAGTCTCCTCTCTTCCTGATTTCGCAGTAATGCTCTTACATGAGGATAATTGTCGAAGAAAAGTTCACCCAATCCATAGAGGTATTTAACTGCCAACATTGCTTCATGGCCGGTCAATAAATATGGATCTTGTTCTGCAATTAGAACGAACCAAAATTATATTAGATAGAAACGAAACGATACACATTATTATACATATAAAAGAAGATAGTAAATTAGGGTGCCATTTATTAAAAATAGATTAGAAAGCATTAATTAAAAAGCGTAGACTTTATATCATAATCAGCAATCTCTTAGAAAAGATGGTCTTACGCTGTGATTTGTAGAAATCGGGGAAGCGTTGCGATATCTCTTGCCAGCTATAACCAAGATCATTGATGTCAGTTGGTGGCAGAAAAACTCCAATTGGCCACAGAGATTCGACGTTTCCTGAACTCTGTATCACCTGCTGTAAGTGATTTTGTCCGAAACTCGTCCTATAATTATAATCTATAAAAATGAACCATAGATATAAATGATTTTTACTGATGTTGTTTAAAAGATATATTATTAACTTTAATCGATGTTTGCGGGTCCAATAAAAAGAATATTTTCTTCAAGTACGTTCTGAAAAATTATTTATGACAAATATTTTTTACAATCTTATAGTTATATATGCTTATTATTCCTCAAATTTTGACCTTTAAAATGGAATAAATCGTTCAATTACATCTTAATCAATTGCTTGAACTTCAATTATTGATATTCAATTAGGTGTTGGAATTAATTCGTAGCGTTTTTTAATGAAAGAATGTTATTTATTTCACATGAGCATTAAAAAATACATTAATGAAAGTATTTCCCATCACTTGTAAAACGCTACTAATACTTTATACTTTGAGTAAAGATACATTAATTTAAAGTACACTAAACCCGTAAATACATACAATTAAGAAAATTTCAAAGCGAATACCGATTAAGGTTAATTCTGATTAATACTCCTAATTAATTACACTAAAATAATTGTATGTAAGTATAAAAATAAAGTACTTACCGAGATCATTAGAATGCTTGGCCACGTTTCGTCGGCCGATCGATATAAACGATTTTTGGGCTACCGTTCGATCTCCTAGATACAAATGCGAATGAGTTAAAGCATCTCAACTTGTTAATATAAAATATTATCACGTAATCAGAAACTAACCGTCTGTTGTAACGCTATGCTCGTACACATTAGGTGGCGACACGAATTTCACGTGCACATTGGCGAGCGGTAAGGAACTGACCACAGTCACCGTTAGAAGCATCAATACCTGCACTGTTATCTAAAATCAAAATAGTAGTTTATTTTATAATTAATGATGTATCTTGTCATCAGAGTCGGATATTCATGAAAAAAACATAAGAAAAAGATGATTTAGAAATTCTACAGCATATTTTATGACTACTTTGGAGTCTATTTCTCCTCAGAAAAAAAATTTCGAACTTTTGTTAAAGTAAAATGTGTGAATTAAATTTCGTTGGAATGTCTGTGTTACAAAACATATTGTATCCGTGAGTTTCTCAATAACAAAAAATTATATTATTTTACAATGCACAGTTGCTGAAACTCAATATACATACATATGAATAACTATCACAGAAAGTTTTCTTAGTAAGGATATATCATATTACATACTCGGGTTTCAAGATATTACCTGTAGATGTATGCGCGTATACAATTTCATAGAGATTTGTTTGCAAAAGAAAATAAAATAGCTATAACGGCAACAATAAAACTATTCGTATGGTTTATCAATTCTAATACGAGTTAGGCCCAGTTTCACAACTCACGATTAACTCTTAACCGAAGTTCAATTTGTTTCTCATCTTTTTCCAATTCTAGAATTGGAAAGAGACAATGAATAAGTTGAACACGATTATTTATATTATTCAACTTGTAAAATATTATAATATTTAATAATTATTATATTATGCCGTCTTGCATTACAAGAAAAAAATTGATTCCAAATTTAATTGAGACTTTAAGCCAGGAGTTATGTTTTGTGAAACAACTTAAGCAACTACTTCGCAATCACCATATATACGTCGACGATAAATCTTTTTTTTTGATGAATCACAATGCAGAAAATGGACTGACATGAAACATATCACAGAAATATGTCAAGGTGGATACGTTTCTAAAAATCGTTCTATGTGGATGCACATATAGAGTAATATTGGGTCATCTAAAAAGTATCAGCGGTTTTTTGTCATTAGATGTGTGTTGATGGTATATATCTAGTGACAAAGTATCGCGGATACTTTTTAGATGACCCAATACATAGCATAGGAAGAAATTATATAACTGTCTTCTTGTAATCTGCAAGAAGAAATCAATCATCTTTGAATTAAAACCTGTAAGAGAGTAATATTTATTGATATATAAAAATGTGTGAATAGCAAAGAAGTGTATATCGCAGTCGTCTGTACCATCAAAAGAATTATTATTAATTATCGTTGTACATCGTTGTAATCCTCGATTTAGAAAATTCGTATTTTATAGAACTTTTTATGGGGCTTCTTTATCATTAACTTGTTTTCAATCATTATTACACGCTAATAAAATGTTTTATGCGCAATAGTTTAATTAAAAAAACGAGATAGTAATAATTAGAGATGCACCGGATCGTAAAATTATCAGATACCGGATCTCGGATATCCGAGTAGAACGTCGGATGGTATCCGATCGAATATTCGAGACGCAATTTCTTCGAGTCGGATATTCGATTTTTTCCGGATATCTGATCAGATTCCAAAAAAATGTCTTTTAAAAAAAAAGCCTATAGGGAAAAAGATTATAATTTTGTGACAATATATAAGATATTATAGCATCATGAATATGCATACTTATTTTTAGAACATTTGTATAAGAAAAAATCAATTAATGATATCAAATTTCAACCGGATACCTCTCCGAATAATAGTGATATCCGGTCGGATAGTAAAAAAATGTCGAATAATACCAGATACTTTTCGGATATTTGGTGCATCCCTAATAATAATATTGATCCATTGATAGAATATTATTATGCCATCTTTTATAATTATATTTATGATCTTTTATGATCTTCTCATGGTTATATTTATTTATGAAGAATTAAATCGGTCTTAAAAATTGATTTGTAATATTTTTTTATTTTTCAATATATTTTTTAGCTCTTATCTTATAAAATATCAACTCTTATCTAGATATAACATACAGAAAAACTTTAAGAATGCATTTTATTACTCCTTAACAATTTCGTAGGTATCAATTTCTAACTTATTATTCTTGCTTCTAGATTCTCTAAAGTAATTGGGAGTAATTTATTATAATATAAACTCTTGACATAAACGTCGTAACACGTTACATCATTTCTACGACCTGCTTACGGAACGCTGCCCTTCCTATGCGAACATTACAAGACAGACTTTTCCCAGTAGGATTGGAACCAGCAACATTGCGCTTTGAAAGGCAATATTCTTCACGACCGCGAAAGTTACATTATATCTCCGCATGCCATCGTCATTCCTACATCGTCTCAAGTGAGCACACCTACGCCTTTTAACAAAACGCGTGTATGCGCGCTGAGCTTATAGCTCTCAAGGAGATTCGGATAAAGATACATACTCGGCAGTGCGTATCAAAACTCACCCTTTCGCCTTCCTTTCCGCTCACCTTCACTTGGAAGTACATTCGGGCGCTATTGAATCCGGCATTTGAGATATAACAGTGCGGAAACTTCATGTGCATAAGTAGTATTTCTACATACATTGATAGATTATCGATCAGAGATCTAATAACTACTCTTCGACAATGGAATTTGCGAAAAGGTCGAGCTTCGAAAGGGCATGAAGTCTTTCTCACGAGAAGGAAAGCTCATAATACACATTTTTAACAGAACGTTACGCAAAAGTAAATTAATTTATGAAATGAAAAGAAATTTGTACATCATATAATTTTATATGTCTGTTATAACTTCTTGATACGTATTTCATTATTTATTAATGTTTCATTATTAATTATATACCCGGGAAAAAATGTTTCATATATAATTATATATAATTATATATATAATATGTCCATTACATAACATTTTTTCCCGAGTAGAATACATTGAAGTTCAAGAACAAACGTTTTAAATTTGAATCAAAACAAGTTAGTTTGCAATTTAATTTATTTTTGTACAATATAATTTTCTATTATAATATAACTTCCTTGATATGTGTATGTCGCTCTTTCTAAATGTTTCATACATTATTTAAAAGTGATTTATAGTCTATAAATGTTGGATCGAGTACAAAACGTTTCAAATGGAGACATTGCAATTAGTTTGCAATCTAATTTATTTTTGCACAATGTAGTCTGATTAGTAAGAGTATTGACTCATAGCACACATGAATGGGAAAAAATATGTATTGCTGTAAACTGAGAGCGATCCCATTCTCGTGATGTACATCACGATTTGATTAAGTAACAGCGAGTCGCAATGAAGCAATTACATTGATTCACGCGCACACGCATGCATAAGAATTTATAAATCTGTATATATAATACGCCTGCTTACCATGTCTACCTTTCTAATGATACATTAAATCCATAGATAAATTAATTTATCGCGTGAGACTGTAATTACTCGATTCGAATTGTAATTATAGCGTCTCAGAAAGTGATGGAACAAATTACAATAGCTTCACAATAAAGTTTCTTCTGTCAAAGGAACATTGTTGTGAAACTAATTTATGTTCTTTCCTATCTTTAAGTAAAAATCAAAGTAGATAAGTCTCTTATGCAACTTTATCATCTTTTATTCATTTTTTTCTCTATAAATTATGAGATAAACATATTTTTATATTAAAGATATTTATGATTTTCTATTGTAAACCAAGTCCCCTTCTTGGCTTGTATACTGAAGCAAATAAAATATTCTATTCTATTTATGATTTTCTAGGTTTCTACACTAAATTGTTTTCAATTTTTATAAATATTAAAAATTATATGAAACTACTCGAAAATCGAGAATTTATTATTAATTTGGATTTTATTATACAACATTATAGAAAAATTTCAACATTATAGTAAAAATTAAATTATTTAAAATGTTTCCTTTTTTTCAAATTTCCATTTTTGTTTAAGCCTTTATAAAAATATATTCGGTGCATTTTATAACTAATAACTGATTCATTAAAATTTAAAATTTTAATATTAGATTAAATATCAAAGTACAAATTCCACATCTGAATCTATTCTAAGGCTTTCCAATCTGTTTCACTTGGTAGTTTAAATTTAAATTTATTTAATTTGATGATAATATAAAATTCGTGTTTTCCAAGATATGATTAATCATTATAAATTGATGGTTTTATAATGATAACTTTAAAAGTTACTTTTTATTACAAAACCATCAGTTTAGAGATTAATAAGTTCTGATTAAAATATTTTTATAATATTTTAAATTGGCGCGAAGACACACTCAATGAAGTTAGCTACCAAATTAATCAAATCGTGAGCATCGTTCGTCGATGAAATGATCTTTCAATAATGTGCATCCTAATGAATATAGGCAAAGGGATTAAAATTATTTAAGATTTTCAAATTGAACGCCGATGGCTGTAATTACAAGTGAACGGTCAAGGAAATCTGCGAGAGGACACAGGTTCATCACTTCACCCACCATCGTCATCGTCGCGCTATCAATCGTCGAGTATCGATCCCTAGCAGGATCTCGATGAGACGAGCACGTCGCACACTCGCACGTATCGGATCACAGTCACTACGGCGAGAAGGATTTCTCTTACGGATTCGCGGGGACTCTAGGATCCAGCCGGATTTTCTCAAGACGCCTTGTGGATGCGATAATAGGAACTGATCCAGGTCGCGGTGTGGAGAACGTCGGCGACCGCCGGCCCGTGCATGAATTTCAGCATCCCCCTTCTCGCCATCCTCAATATACATGCACGTGTACCCCACTTGCGTGTGACTTTCGAGGCACCGCGGAGGTTCCCGAGGTAATAAGGATTCTAACTTCGCAAGGGATCACCGTCGAGATACTTTCATCTTGCCTCGGGAACGCACGGCTCGTGGATCAAATTAGTACGCTTGCGAAACAGACATCGTCCGTGAACACGCCGTATTCTTCGTTCCCGCGGTCACGACGAGTTGCGCGGCCGAACCGACAATCGAATCGATGCAGAGAAGAAAGGCGGGCCTGTCGAATAAGGTCATATATAAGTAAACGGAAAGTAATCTTTCAGGGAAAAATATTTTCAAAAATTTTATGACTTCCTCTAAACAAAAAGTTATATTTATAATTACATAGAAAGAATTAACGTAACGAACATAATAAGTAATAATCAAAAATTAGATTACATCCGCTTTTCTTTCACCTGTTGCGCTACAAAATACTCTACGTGGGAAAAAATATTTTATATATAATTATATATAGTTTTATATATTTGTATTAGGTGTTGGAATTAATTCGTAGCGTTTTTTAATGAAAGAATGTTATTTATTTCACATGAGCATTAAAAAATACATTAATGAAAGTACTTATTTATATACAATTATATAAAATTATATATATTTTTATATAATTTTATATAATTATATAACATTTTTTTCCCTAGTGGTTTATTCTCATTTCACTCTGAACAACATTTAAACCTAATCTACAGACTTTTATCTCTTGCCCTTTTCTTTATAGTTGCTACCATTTTATCGACATTCATGTTCTAATTGTCTTTTCCGAAATTTAACTTTTATCTCGGACAAAAACGAAAAAATAAAATAAGAATCGAAAAGGCAAGAGAAAATGGTACGTAAAAAATGATAAAAAGCCAGCAGCAAGAAGCAGAAAGAACACAGAGAAAGTAGAATAGGTTTTATAAATTTATTAATCGAATTTTTTTTAATCGGCGATTAAATTATCAAGCAAACCTGTATTGTTTTGTTAACATAGAATATAATTCATTTTGTAATATACGGATGGAGAGAAGATTGAAAAGAAAGATTGAATTGGAAACAGGAAGTTATATAAATTTTTCTTTTTTGCTGAGTAAGGGTCATCACATACAAAATGACATGGCATAGTTGCATAACCATAGCATAAGGCGCCTAGACCAAGCACCCGACATAAAGATGCCATTGATTTACATAAGATTTTCTTCTTCTGATTTCATAGCTCTCGCCGGCGATTCCGGTCAATTTAAGATGCTCATTGGTTTAGGGGCCTTATGCTTTGCTTATGTAATTTTGTGTATGATGGCCCTAAATAATCTAATTAAGTTTAGTAGTCAAAGTCTATAATTGCAACTAGCGTCTTGCTACATATGATGCTTTATACAGCATGAAACGGAAAGCGAGTTAAAGATCTCCAAAAAATATAAGCGTTGCGTATATTTCTTAAGCGAATTAGAGCATGTTAGATTGTCAAGATACTATCACATTGTATATCCGACTTCCGCGCATATATGATTTAATTGTAATCAACAATCTACAAATGTTAATTGATTGTACCCATAATATGAAATTACTGTAAAATATGAAATATTAATAATTATTGACGTTGAGTTGGGTCCTCATTAATTGTTGCCAAGTTTTCTGATTAGCGAATGGTTGATCTTATAAGGTGATATTCTTAATCTGATTTTATACTTAAGTTTTAATTAGTGTTAAGATTCTATCTAATTAAAGAAACTACATAATTTAACTCGAGTCTATTTTATGTCGATCATGATCACTTCCTTAGTAGCAATTAATTTATTTATCAATTTACTGATTAAACGTTGGAAATAATATTGGACCAATATTTGAACAATATTGTGCCAATAATTGTGCTACTAAGGTTTATATTATCTTTTATTAAACTAATGATTTAATATAATAATAAACAATAATAATGAACAATTAATTTTGTACATAACAATAAATAGTTAATTTTCTGTTCAATCCCGGGAAAAAATGTTATATATATCGATATATTTTACATATAATTTTATATAATTATATATATGAAACATTTTTTTCCAGGTACTTAATGATAATTAATTTTGTATTTAAGACGATCGTGAATATAAATGCCATCCTTAATTCCTCATTCTATTGTCGATTTTTAAAAAGAACAACAGTTTGAAAACCGGAGTCAGTCGCAAACGTTTAAACGTTCAAATCGAAGCGCGCGTACGCCACCATGGTGAGATAACCGTCACCGGAGTTCCGGTTCGCCGCGCGCTAGTCGCCAGAGGATTTCGCGGGCGGCGTGGCGTGCTTGGCGTACGGGGAACCGGCGAAAATTCAATTCACCGCGTGCGAACGAGCGTGCGGATTGCGTCGCACTATGTTCAATTAGTTATGTCATGTCATGTTATGTTGGCGTGGAGTTGTGATGACGCTTCGTCCCTCGTCGCAACGAGTCCTCGTCATGCCGCGCCGCCTTGCGATGTATTGGCCTGTCTCTTCTCACGAGACAACCGTGCGCGAGGATGGCGAGGCACGTCGAAGCAGGACGCGGTTCTGCTTATTCGTCCACGCGTTTAGGGATCGACGACACTTGCCGACGCCGCACGTCTCGGCGTCCCCTCGAGCCGTTGTGGGCCGTTGATTACGGCGCCGGCGACGATTGTTAACCGTCGCTGAATCGGTCGGTCGTTGTTATCGCTTATCGCGAAAAATGGAAGGGCCGTTCGTTTGATTGCGACTTTTACGGTAAAGGTACCACGCGGTCTCGTTGCTCGGCATACAAAGCATCTCAAAGGGAGAAACGAAAATCACGGACGGAATGTCTCCTTGTCCAGTATCATTAGAATATATTAGTGAAAAATATTCTCTGTTTGCAGCTGGGTCATAATTGTAGGGGATTATGTCGGAGCAAAGTGCGGATTCTCCGAACTGTACCGCGAATCAGGAGGAGGAAGAGGAAGAGGAGATGATCTTGCAAGAGTCTGAGGTACATAGAAATTGATAATAATGATAACGTCATGTAGAACATTTTTGTACAAATCGTTTCATATCATCTTCTATTAATAAAATAATAATTTAATGAATATTTGATTTTGTACAATAAAATTGGTTGCTTGTCCAACAATTAGTTTTATTGATTTTTTTGTTTTTGTTTCCATATCTGCATTTAACATGATGTATGATTTACTTTTAGGCTAATCCAGTAGATATTCTGGAATGTCTGTCGGTTATGATCAACGATAGCACTGGAAAGGATACTAGCCAGGTACAGGAGCTTATATTGGACGATCAGTTGCTTGGTACAATGGTAACTACAATTACATTGCCTGATGGGACTCAAGCTTTTGTTACGAATAATCTTGGTGACATTGGTTAGTAACCATTTGAATTCGGCTGTTTTTAATATTATTGTACTTGAATATTACAGATAATACAAAAGAATTATTCCTTTCAAAACAATTTGCATTTGAAAAAATATAGCTATTTGGACGTTTTATTTGTTTTATGGTATATCTATAATGAATTTGTACATTTACAGATCCAGATTTTAAGACACAAACACTGCAAACACTTGAAAATGGAGATACTATTTTGCTACGAGATTTGTCAGAATTTGGCGATGGAAAGGCTCTTCAACTGGAATTAGATCCAGCTACATTTGTACATGCTGAAGACACTGCCACTGAAAATGTAGAAAATACATATTCACAAGTAGAATTTATCACTGGCACTGCGTATATGGTGGCTGGCCATGTGGATGTAGACGAAAATTTATGGGAAATTGAAGATGGAAAGTTAAAGAAAAAAGATCCCAAGATTTTAATCAACAAAATATCCGATGTAAAAGTTAGATATCCTTGTCCTAGGGAAGGATGTTCAAAGGTTTACAGCACGCCCCATCATCTTAAGGTAATCAATTCTTCGAGATCAGTACGAATACTTGTAAATAATTGAAAGATCTCATTTAGGGCGGTATTTATAATCCGTTCTTATTTCAAGATTGTCTTAAGTAATGTCTTAAGTCACTAATGCGGTTCTCTGATTGGTTCGTAACTTCTTAAGACTGTACTTAAGACGGTCTTAAATAAGATGTGACTATGAATATCGGCCTTAAATATTTTCAATCAGACTTACTAAATGCAATATTTTTAATCTTTTTTGTAGGTCCACGAACGTTCGCATACTGGTCAGAGACCATATAGATGTACTCATCCAAAGTGCAAAAAGAGTTTTTCAACCGGCTATAGTCTGAAAGCGCATTTACGGACGCATACGGGCGAGAAACCGTACAAATGCACGAATGGAACGTGTAATAAAAGCTTCAAGACGTCAGGCGATTTGTTAAAACACGTGAGAACTCACACGGGAGAACGTCCCTTCGTATGTCCATTTAACGGTTGTGGTCGATCGTTCACTACAAGTAATATTAGGAAGGTACGGATATTCAATGTACGATGCTTATTAAAATATTTTATTGTCGAAATTCAATAAAGGTTTTATGCTTATCAGGTTCATGTAAGGACACACACTGGCGAGCGACCATATAAATGTACGCAACCGACATGTGGTAAAGCATTTGCTAGTGCGACAAACTACAAGAATCACATACGCATACATTCAGGCGAAAAGCCCTATGTTTGTTCCATAGAAAACTGTGGTAGAAGGTTTACCGAATATTCTAGTCTATATAAACATCATCTTGTAAGCATTTTATACCAATTATTAATCAGTTATTAATAAGAGTACAATATTCTAGAATACAATATTCCAAGAACTTGTTAAAATATAAATATCTCTAGATATTTTTGTCTTCGTAGGTACATACACCACAACGACCATTCGAATGCACACTATGCTCCAGGAAATATCGTCAGAGTAGCACGTTGGTGATGCACAAGAGAA